CCCCCCCCCCCCCCCGAAAATATAAAATCATTGTTCAATATATTCAGTCCATATCACTAAACATCAGGCAATATATAAAAAAAAAATGATCGTTCTGTTGTTCGTATAATGTCATACAGTAGAGCCACACATTTATCACACGTGGCTACTGAGTGTCACAAGCGCTTTTTCTCATTTCATTATATTAGATTTTTGGGGCCAGATTTTCAACCAATGTCCTAAAATATGTATGCACATTTTTAACAATTCAACGTGTATGCAACTAACATACAATCATTATGTGCTGAAGGTAGCACTGGTACCCTTTGCAAGAGGTATAAAAGACACCAGCTAACAGTTAGGATAGACTTTCAGCTAGAGGTCTACCCAAACCCTCTGCCATGGTTGCTGGTTTCTGCTTTTAAAGTATTACATACACATAACTAAATATCTGCCTATGCAATCTGTAGAGAAAGAGTTCATTAAGTATCTAATTATTAATATTTGTGCTCACAAGTTACTGCAGGTGCAAAGTGCTAAAGTAATTATCTACAGATGCACAATTGCATGAGAAATAAGAAACTGGTACTAAAATCTGGAATCGAATCTTTACAAATTTAATAGAAATTGATAATATTTATCTTCATAAGCATTTATTCATTCTGCAAATGGGAACTACTTTATTAAAAAAAAATCTAGTGGCACAAAGAGACAGTTTGTTTCTCTACAAGAGAAATATGCTTCATATTCCTATTTGCCTCCCTACCGATATTTGCCTTGTGAAGTACCACTCAGAACTCAACTGCCTGTTCAGGTCCAATTCTTTTTATACTGAAGGATGACAGAAATGCAGAAAGAGAAAGAACTAGAAAATATATTGAAGTAGTTATAGCCAGGATCCTGTGCACCTTCACTTCCGTCCTTATTCATTCAGATTGAGTTCAGTTTAACTGCTCACATGAGTAGGGATTTGCAGTATCGGATCCTAACTTCGTAACCTAACCTTGTAACTGTAAATACATACACCTATTATTGATTGCTTTTACTTCATTGACAAAATACTGAAAAAACAGAAAAACTAGAGCCCATAGAATTTTAAGTTCCATTGGTATGCATGTCAGCTTTTGCACCCAAAACTTTGTAACAAGATGGGGGGGTAGGTGTGAAAGTCTGGCTTATGAAAATCTATTTTTCAGAACACTGGAGAGGTGTAAATACAAAGTGACTCATAATTCAGTTCAGATTTTGTTAAAGTCCCTCAACCAAGTCAGACTTGACTACAAAATCCTGTGGTCACATTTATGGGAAAGTAAACTTTTGACCAGAAACACCAAAAACCCATTCCCTCTTTTTTGTAAAGGTCAGTCTGTAGGATATATATATATAATTTTTCTTTTTTAAATTATGAAACTGAAACTGAAGCCTTAAATTCTAGAGTCCTGTGGGTTTTCAAGGCCTACTTTGAGGTTTTATTTATGCCTGTTTGCAGAAACAATATTCTCAGTTTAGGGCTGGGGTGTCAAAGATATGGCACACGGGCCACATCTGGCCCACAGAGCCCCATCATCCAGCCCACAGTGCTGCCTGTGGGTCTCAGACAGGACCAGCACACTATGTGTAGTGTGCGCTGGACCAGACCCAATCACTGCACACACAGTGTGGCACTGGACTAGCACACGTAGCACACAGGGCTGGGACATGTGGAGCCAGTCCAGGGTGCCTGCTGCATGAGTTTGACACCCCTGGTTTAGGGTCTTCTTACTGAACTATTCTGGAAGGCAATGCTTTTCCTCTTTGCTGTCAATGTAGGGGATCTTTGTGTGCGTGTTAATAGGAACATCTGGGGAAGAGAGGGTAGAGTGGAGGGAAATGTTTTCTATCAATCCCCAGCTAGTGGAGCTGAAGGCTCCCTAAGAACTGCTCTAAGTTATGCTGGGAGAGTCAGTCTGGTCTCAAATCAAGCCATGAACAGGAAAACAGAGAAGAGCAGTCTCCCCTCCCTCCTTTCCACACACACACACGGTGCTGTTGCTACTAGGATTTAGATTTCACTTTATACACAATTTTGATCAAATGGCTCTCATTTTTGCATTGAAAAGATGCCTAAATATGTGAACATTGGCAAATTTTCGATGCAAAGCTGCCTGTGCTAGAAATGAGAGCCACTTCTGCTCACAAGGGGAAAACATTTCTAATCTAAATATTTTAGATTTAGAAATACTTTGAGTCAGTCAAATCCACACTTTTCTAGTTGATTTCTGCTTTCTAATGATTTCTTATTCACAATGAGGCCACTTCCCAGAGCTCTGAGGGTATAAAGGGACCTTGAAGGGGTAGTAAATTACATTTAATACATGTTAAGGCATCTTTAGATCCTCAGTACTTTAGAGCATTATCCAGTGGCCTTAATGAAAATGAGAATTTAGCCTGAGGTTTATAAATATTTATGAATTCTAAATGTGAGATTGCTCTATTAATTCAGTGCAGACAGACCTCCATTTATCAAATTGTAAAGGCAACTGTATTTCCAGGGATTAATTACATTAGGTTTCTGATGTTCCTTTCCCACTCTGAAGGAGATTTTGGGCAGAAGAGGACCAGAAACTAGCTTGGGTGAGCTGCAGCTGGCAGGCTTCCCTCATCTCCCTGGATCAGAAATGGGGTACAGTATTTGTGTAGTATAACTACTGTTCAGTTTCTCACTATTAGCACAACATCGTAAGAAAGTAGGTCTTGAAGGGACTTCATGGCTTGGGACAGAAGTTACACACAAACCAATTTAAGTGATCAGAAACTGGTGAAAACCAGTAACAGCACATAAATTCAGTGCACATAAACCAGTTTCAAAATGACTGAAACTGGTTTAAGACAAACCTAGCTGAATGTAGCATCAGACTTAACTGATTTGGGTTGAAGTATTTTATGGAAGTTCTGTCCCAGACCCCTTCCTGGTTTAAATTAAGTCAGAGTCCTTCAGCATCCCAGCATGCTTTTCAGCTCTGAGCTGGGCTGGGCTTGTTGCTCCAGAGAGCATGGCTTGCTCTGGCCCTCTTCTCCCTACTTGGAGCTCTGGCTGGCTAGGGTGGAGGTGGAGACTGCAGCTGGGAGACAGCAATGTCTGCTTGGCTTCCGCCTACCCCGAAGTAGAGCTCAAAGTAACAAGAGAGACTTTGTTTTCTTGATGGGTTGATAAGCATTGTGTTCTGATAAGTTCCCTGCTGGCTTGCTGTCAGTGTTCAACAGTGGGCAGAGAGAGGTGTGAGAAATGACCTGGTTTGCAATGAATGCAGTGCCTGTCAGTTTGCTGCAGACAGTATGAAGAAGCAGGGAGAGGGAGATTGCAAAGCTCAGTATCATCAACAGATGCATGCGGTCCACACAAGCAGCCCTCCCTCCCTCCCATCCCTACCCTTTGCCTCAGAGTGCTAGCCAGGGACCAGGGGCTGGGGTTTGGCAACACTCCCACCCCTTGAGCAATGAGCATGGGGGAAACCCTGGTAAGGGCTCCTTCCCCCTCCCCCTCCAGGCAGACCCTAGCTGGGGACTGTGCAAGCCAGGGTGGGAGTTTAAACCCCACCCTAATCACAGCATCCTGCCAGGGGCCTGTCCACATCCCCCCTCTTGGCACAGCACTATGCAAGGGAAGGGAGGGCTACTCTAGCACCCCCCAGCTTCTAGCATGAGCCACTGCAGGTATCTGCCTGCATTTTCTGAATCAAAAGTGAATGTCTATCCACTTGTAAATCCATGCAATCTCTGCAGGTTAGAGTAACCTGCAAAGATTGAATCAATTCAGGCTTGGGCTTTTTGAATGTCTGCCCCTATACCATGAGGTCATTTAGTTCAGATGACTGCTCAGGGCAGGATGATCCCTGAGTAAACCATCCCAGGAAAGTGTGCATCTAACCAGCTCCTGAAAATATACATGGGTGGACATTCTGCAGCTTCTCTTGGTAGCCTGTTCCAATGCTTGAGAACTCACAGTCAGAAAAATTCCTCCTAACCTCCAACCTATATTTTTTCTGCTGCAACTTGAGGCCATTGAGGCTCTTAATTCCATTCCCTAGAGACACAGAGAAAAGTCTATCTCAAGCCTCTTTATAACCGCCCTTCAGATATTTGAAGATTGCTGCTCTCAGAAATTTCTAAAAATCTCTGCAGAAAGTGCAAGAAAGTTGCCTACGAAAGATTCATGCCAACTGGGTTTTAGAAGGTCTGAGAAAGACAGAGTTGTAGAGTAATATGGTAGTCATATTTTGCTAAGGAAGAAAAAAGGAATTGCACATGAGAGTGTTGTTCCAACCATAAGAATACCCGCTCACTACACAGCTACAGAATAGGATAATGAATTTCTATTAGTAGTGCTATCTAGTCTCTCACCAGCATAATCATTTTTGTATACCTATATCTAGTGTGACTATTGTAAGCTCCTGCATTGTTCACCTCGCTTTGAAAACAGCCTTTTTTACTGATCTTGATTGTACCCCCAAGGGTTATTGAGGCAACTGAAGTCTTTTGGCCAACTCTGGATCCAGCCCTGCGTCTAATACATAAGAGAATATTTTGTATTAGGGGAGAAAATTCACCTTCTACACAAGATAAAATAGTCTTTGCTCCCATACCCACAATGGACAAACTTTTATCTTTCCTCATAAAAGCCACAAGCTCAGAACTAATACAGCTATAAATACCCACAGGAAAAACTATGACATATAGATATATCTATATCTGTACAATATGATACCTGCAAGAAACTCATGACATATATATACACACACACACACACACACACACACACACACATATAAATATATATATATATAGCTGCAAGAAAATGACTCCCATTAGAAATCTAACTTGCAGTTGTGATGTTGTGACATACATAATTTCATCCAAGGAGTGTAGCAAATTCTGTCAGTCAAAAACATCTGGATATACTTTTATCTTTTACTGTACGTGGTATGTGCCCAAAAAGAAATATATTTGTCATAAAATAGTCAATTCAGAATTTTAGACTGTTCCTAAAGAAGTAGAAAACATAATGAAGGCTACTTAGTATAACTGATGGTAGATGGTTTCAAGCTGTAATCTTAAAGTTATACTTCATTTTTCATTATACAAATTAAAAAGTTTCAGTACAAATGCTCACAAATCTGCTTTACCAGTGCAAGTCCTGTGGTCTGGCATTAGTGCAAAGCCTTGTTTACAGCTACAATCATAGCTGCCCTCTGAGTTCGTACAGAAACTCTCACAACCACCGTTCATTATGCTGCATTCATCAATATCTAGAAAGAAAAAAAGTATTGTTAAAAATGCATATGGAAAGCCTTTATTTAAAAAAGGAAGTGCATTTCAAAGATGTATTTTGGGCTAAATTTTCAAACAGGCATCAGTCCAGTCTCTGGTCTTGCACATACTTTGCATGCACCTCTACCACACCCAAGTGAATATAGAGGCACATGCTTGGATATAGGCACTAGCTATTAAGGGAGTGAGATTTATGTTAATTTACCTGAATGCACATGCAAATCACCCTGAAACAGGAACTAACTCCATTCCTAGAGTACCTGAGTTCCCTGAAATCAGTGGAACTGCTTATGTGGGTTTGTAAGGCTGGCCTGAACAACTTGGCTGAGCACATCTTATTCAGATAGGATCAGAACTACATTTTTTTGCCTATATATCAGAATTTTATTTAGCTTTAAGAAAACAGAGCGGAAAACCATATGGCTAAGCTATCTGCAGATTAGATGCAAGGAGGTATGCGCTCAGAGCATACACAGTACTCTATTCTATCAAAGCATTGCAGGAGCTGGGGTGGTGCGGGCACTAAGGAGTACGGTTAACAGCACAAAAGTCAAAAGCTCCAGGCCACAGCAGAAGCACTCACAGCATGGCCTGTCAGATTCCAAGGAATACACAAATTCTGCTAAACACCTTGTCACAAGGACATGAAAAAGGAAAGCACTGCAACCTTAAATACGGCAAATTGTGAATAAAGTACTGATCTCAGGAATAACACAATGTACCTCAGTGGTTCCTGTACTTATTCAAACGTAAGTCACTTATAAATTACCACGTTGTTTTATATCTAACAGTTAATCAACTGAAATGCTAATTATTATATAATTATACAGTGTAAATACTGCAACTATTCCAAAATACCAAGTAAATAGGAAGGAAAATGGACACAAACAGACCAAATTTGAAAGCATCTCAGATACTAGGATGTTCACACTTCAGTATCCTGCATGCTACCAGTGTGTCAGAATCATACCGTTAGATAGGACTTCATGGGTCATTTGGTCCAAATCCCCTGTGCGAAAGGAGGAATGCTACTCCCAAAAATTCTAGTCTGACATTAAACCCTAAATTATTCATTCAGGAGCAGTCATTTCATTAAAGAGAATAATATACCTACATCAACTGTTCTCAGTAGGAGGCAAGTGTTAATTTGTAAACTGTCTTCACTAGTAATCAAAGGATCAAGTTCTTACCAACACAATATAATTTGTCAGGTGTAGACTGATATCCAGGGTTGCAGGCACACTGATACTTCCCAATAAGGTTGACGCAATGTCCATTTCTGCACAGGTTGGTACTTAAATCACATTCATTAATGTCTGTTTCAAAAGAGAAAGGGAAGACATAAATCTGTAGTGCAACAATGAGCAAATGTCATAGATGCATGCACGGTAGAAGGCAGGGAACGTAAGCTTACAAATGACCACTTGCAGTATAAATTGTATTTGCACCATCATACCTACACACGCTGAAATATTTGGAGCCATTTGATGTCCTGGAGGACAGTCACAGCGAAAGCTTCCTTCTGTGTTTATGCAAATTCCACCACGGCATAAAAGAGGATTCCGCTGACACTCATCAATGTCTGCAAAAAGAAAGGAGCACAAATCACTGCAGGAAGTAACTGTCTGTGCACATAACAGAATACATTGCTGGTGCTAAGAATAAATGTGTGTTTCAGCTTCCAAATGTATGAATATGAAGCATCCCCTCCCCCCCTCCCCAAATATCTCTTCTTCTATAAGAAGTATTCCGAGTCCCTTTCAGTCACTGATATTACTTCCTTCCCATACCCCAAGAGACACAAACTTTCCCAAACAGATACCTTGCCCCACTCTCTCAGAAAGTACACAAAACTGCTCCTCTCTTTCCTGTAGATAATGTCTTCATTTTTCCCTGTCTCCCTCTATTTTTTCCTACCCCACTCCCTTTCCTACATAAACATACACTACGGGTCCACCAGCTTCCTTTGGCTGATTCAACACCCAGCCATCAGCTTCAAAAGCAGCAGGAAAAGGCTGCATAAGAAGCTATTGGGTTCTGAAGAGTGAAGAGGCAGGAGCTAAATGATATTTATGCTAGATAAGGGCCCTACCTGTCTCTCGGTTAATCCCTGCTGGAACCCATTCACCTCCTGCACCACCAATGGATAAAATTCTAAGGGTTGGTTTTACATCACAACCCCATGTCACCGTATGTGTTCTGCATCAGTCATCATTTAATATTTATACTGGTGTTTAACTAAGCTTCTCTTCATTGCTCCAGAGGGTCACATTCTGTTCTCAGACACACTTTAATGAAACCAAATAAAATCTGTTGCCTTCTACACTCTTGATTTATGTCAAAGGAACTCGGAGCTCAATATGGCTCACAATGACAACATTAGTAAAAACCTGCTGCCAATCCATGCTAATCATGCCATGCCACAATCTGTGAGATAGGGATCTTGGGGATGAATTAAGAATCCTTGCCTTTTGTTCATTTGTGCTTTGGCAACCTTGAGAAGTAGCTAATTCATTCTTGGGGTGAAACCTAAGCTCCCTCTTCAGGGTCAGCTCTCAACTGAGTTAAGTAACTGTCACTTCTAATTAATTTAAAATAGAAAATGTCAAGCCCCAAGCCCAATGAATGCGAAGTATGCTGGCATCCCCATTCTTTGTGGGGAAATAAGCCTGAACTTCAGTACTCCAGATAAATGGAACCACAACTCAACTGACGGTTCCAACTAACAAGGTTTGCAAATCCAAAACCAACCTGATTTACCTATTGTAGTAAATGTGCTGATCCAGTATAAAGGAACTTTGATGACACATGTCCTATTTCAGTTTCCAGAAGTACAATCAAATTAACAAGACTTTATGAAAAAACAAGCCCAAAACATGGCCATTGTGTCCCATCTTTAGTACATCATTTAAAGCATACCCATGCAGTTTTTCATCATCATGAATCCACTTTCATATCCTTCAAAACATTCACATTCAAAATCCCCAGGAGTATTGACACAGTTCCCCTGGCCACAGAGATCAGGAGATATGCGGCACTCATCAATATCTGCAACATAAAGCAACAGTTTAAGTGCATGTTAAAAAATCACAAATCAATGTTTTCTTTTAAAAGCCATTTCCTGATAGCTAACAGCCAAGCACTGTACCTGTACAGTTCCTTTCTTCAGAGTCAAGTGCAAACCCGCTGTCACATTTACACTTAAAGCTGCCAATAGTGTTTCTGCATTTTCCATGGGTGCAAAGACTGGGGATCATTTTACACTCATTGATATCTGAAAAGGAAACAAAATAAGTTAATAGATTTTAGCATCAGTTTGATTTTACTAAACAGGAATGGCTAAATACCTTTCCTAGAAGTTTAGGCTAGTAAAAATCTCCAGCAGAAAGGAACAACTTTTTGAAAACTGCAGCTGCAGTTGATGCATAAAACTGCCTGCATCCATACAACAATTCTTAAGCAATTCTCTAATCCTTTAACTCACAGATTTCAAAAGTGATTTAGAGATAGGTATCCTTAATCCTATTCACTGATGGGTTAATTGTGGGGCTCATCATGTCCAAGTTTCACTTGGATATGAATATTTTCTCTCCATATTAAAAAAGAAACAACAACCTACATGCAACAATACAGCAACAGATTCAGAGAATGATTTGAGGTGTTTTGGGAAATCTGTAACTATGCATTTGTTGTATTTATTAATATTTAAGCCAGTTTATTCCTCCTTCTAATTGTAAAGGTGAATACAAAAACCTACAGAGACAATGCTGAATGTTGAAGAGGAAAGCAAAAGTGACTACACACTGACTGAGAAGTGGGAAATAATCTCCTTTGAACTAATAATGAGAAACATTTGTAATGCAACTAGGTTCTAATAGGAACCTTCCTGCAATGGAAATCTAATCAAACCTTTTTGCCTCTCATCTCCTCTTTTTCTAATCCTGCACCCTAAAGTAGGGGGTCTCTAAAGCATCAAGACAACAGGTTATCAAAAGTTTTGGCATTTTATTTAACAGAACAGATTTCTCACTCCCTGAAACCACTCTCCAAGAAGGAAACAGGAACCATGCTCGTATACCCCCTAACACACACAACTGAGGAGCACGCAGGGGAGCAGCTCAAAGGACTAGCATCCTTCAGAGTTCAGCATATCACTTTTTTGACAGTCCCATCCTCTTTTACAATTGGAAGCCCACAAGAAGAATTCAGATTATGTTCCATTTACGAGGTAAGCACTAACACATATCACTGAAGCTGCCTGAGATTCTTCTGTTAAACAAATATTGGCTTCTTTGTCTAACATAAAGCTGATCCAAAGCCTACTGAGGTCAACAGAAAGACATTCACTGTCTTCAGTGGGCATTGGACCAGGCCCATGGCAGCCAAAGAGAACTGCCAAAAGAACCACGCCATCCCTGGTTTCTGAGAAAAATGAGGTGTCCATGAGTCATAGAAAATAATTAACATAAATAAAAGCACATGTCACACTTTTTATGGATAATTAATGGCCTAGTAACTGCTTATAAATCTAAGTTTGAAGCAATCAGCAACATTCACTGTTCTCATTTACTTTTGTCCCTATTCTTCAAATTTCAGTGCATTTGTTTTTCAGATAACCAGTTTCCTTAAATTTCTGTTCTGAACATATTAATATGCACTTGCCTTTATGACAGTATAATGTTTAATCTACACAGGTAACTTAAGCTAGAAGCGGTCATTGTGGAACATGTTTGAATGTCGCTGTGGAAGTCCCATTAATACTTCTAATTAATACTCCACTGGTGGTACTCATTTCTGCTCTGTTCCATGCATGTGGCACACAGCTTGCTTTTTAAAGGGCTGCAATATTTTACATAAAACAGAGTCTTTGAGCTTGTTATGGTTTGTGACATGCAGAAAATCAGGTCAAATCAAATGTCCCTTCTGGCCTTAATTCTTATGAAATGCAACAGGATCCACCAAAGTACCTGAAGTGGGGATTCTTAACTCCCACTGAAATTTCCAAAGCCACAGGAGTTTATCCAAAGTAAAGGAAGAGTAAAAACTGAGTAAAACCAACAGTATTTGTTGCTAGTGCTTTAAAAGTTATTTTAAAATACCTTACATACCTTTGGAGAATGGCTTTCCATTTATTTCTACTCTAGTAGAAAACCCAGGTCCTCTTGGACAAAGAGCAGAATATTCAGGTGTTCCCTTTAAGGGGCATTCCTCACATTCAGAGCCCCATGCTGCACCCACAGAACAGCAGCAAGCATCCATTCGGTGCCGGCCTGGTACTTGCAATGTACATTGTTCATCTTCATGCTTTAGGTAGCAGCTCTCCAAACGAATGTCTGTTGGGTAGTTAAACAGTGATTTGATGGAAAATTGAGAGGGAAGGGAGTGGGAGAGGGAGCAAATGAATGCGAATTTAATGAGCAGCAGAGGTATTGTTTCTCAAAAACTCCTTCTCAGAAAGCCTTGCCTGGGCAGAATGCACAGAGATTATGTATAGCTCTTTCCCCCGGACTAGTGACTCTAAATTTTGGAATTAACGTTTCCAGATTAAATAAACCTAATATGGTTTAGCATTTAAGATTGATTTTGGATTAGGAAGGGGGTTGTAGCTCTGCTACAACCTATGCTTTTGTCATTCAGTATTAAAAGCTTAAATATTTATTATTAAAATTGGTAAATATTCTCTGAATGGAAGATAAGCAGTACTTAAAATCAATATATTCTGCTGTACTCCACAAACAAATGCTGCATAGATATACAGCAGCTTTATAGGCCTCATCAAACTGAGACGTACATTAACCCTGGCCTGGAAGGACTATCTTTGAAGACAAACATTATTAGTCTCAAGCTGAGGCTGCCAATAAAAGATGTCAAGTTGCATCAGGTTTGCTGATAGGTGTTAAGATACCATCTCTCTACTAGGATTTGGGTCAGTGCTTCTGTGCCATTTTACATGGCCACCAAATGGTAAAATGCTTTTGCAACTGAACTATATTTGAACTGGCAACTTAAAATTGAATGGCTTTGCCTCCCATTACTGACCTATTTTTAAAACTGCCCTGAATAAATTTTATTTTCCTTTTCACAAGTGGGGGCTGCAAACCTTTGTTTGTCATACAGAGATTTGGTTGGGCTTCCCCTACCTCCCCAACAACAGCAAAAGAACTGTAACTGCTTAATACCTACCATGACACATCCGTCCAGAAGCATCTAAAGTCATTCCGTAGGGGCACTGACAAACAAAGGATCCCAAGGTATTGACACACTGCCCATTGGTACATACTCCAGGAAACACCTCACATTCATTGACGTCTATTTAAAAAAATCATTAAAACAAAGAACATACATAAATTACAGGAATATGATGGTTCCAACATTTGTGCTTTAGGGCAGGTCACACAAAATATCAGCAGCTTCCAGAGTTTGGCAAAACTCCAAATTCTTGGGTTTTGCTAAGCAAGTCAGACAAAACTAATTAATTACAGCAAACTGCAAATGATTAAGGTATTAAGCGCTGTTATTGTGCAGTTGATGTACCTATTGAAATCTGGGTCATAAATACAAAATTAGGTCACTGACAAAGATGCTCCATTGCACATTCATTGTTTGCCAGATTTTTTAGAAGTACTGAGGTGCTGACAGATGCAGACAACTGCCTACTGAGATTTTCAAATGCACTGAGATGCCTGCTTCTCACTGGGTGCATATACACGAGCTCTTTACTGAGGAGTTGACTGATTAGCTCTTCAGTAAAGCATCACCATCTACACATGTGCCGATATTAGGGAGGAGTAAATTAATTAATTCCACCATAAGACAGTATTGTCAGGGACAGTACTATGTTACAGCAGAGTCCTTTACTGTGCAGAAAAGCATGTGTGGATGGTGACTGGGACCTCAGCAGCTTGAGCCAGGGCAGACCAGCACCAGGCTGGCAGCAGGCTTGCGAGGGGTCAGCCACATGGCTCCACAGTTTTGACACTATCATGCCCCAGCCAGCCCCTCCACTGCTCAAAGCTGCCACCTGGAGCCCGGGGCTGACCCTTAAGCCTGCTGCCAGCCTGAAGCTGCTCCGCCCTGGTGGCACATGAAGTCACTGGGCCCGGGAACAACTGATTCTGGCACAAATTGCACTTAAGTTTATTGAGCTGCTTTAATAGCTTGTGTATATGCACTCATTAAGTATGTAAATATGTGAAAACCCAATATGCATCTCAGCATCTTTCAGCACCTAAACAGTAAGAATCTGACCCTATGCCCTTTAATAAGTTCCTCAATATATCCATGGGAAGCTTATATTTTATCTTGTTTACATAAACATATCCTGAATGTATTTTTAAGTGGTAAACTTGGTAAACTTGGTTTTGTATGATTAGGAAGATAAACTCAACCAGCTGAAGGTGATTGAATATAAATAAATTATTAGCAATATCAGGACACTGGCCTTGCTGAAAAAGGCAAACGTTTCATATAATAGCATTTAAGCATTTTTATTGAAAATTGTCTCAGAAATTATATTATGGTCCAAGATTGAATATGAAAAAATTAAGGAGTGGAAACAGGTTGTTAAAACAGAATGTTTCTTGAACCATGTAGCTGCATCCCATGACTGAAGACAGATACCAGGAGATGGTAGCTCAGATTTGTTAGGCATATGGAATAAAATTCCTCCAGTTTGTGTGCGTGTGTTTTGGTGGAGAGGGGTAAGGTGGGAAGAGATACCGTTATGGGGCCTCTTCACAGGTCCATGGCTTACCCATAGACTAGACGTGATTGCCAGTTTCACTCCTTCACTCCTCATGTTATTTCCCTGAAAAGCCTGTTTTAGTCTTCAGTCTTGGAGGGGAAGGCTGAATGTCACCTTTTGGGAAGTAGACATTATCATTTGACCCCTTCCCCAATACCCTAGTAAATTTCGTGGAGCTTGTCCTTGAGTTCTTCATTCTGATAAGTGCTTAGATTCATAGAAGCCTAAAATGCTACTTCAACACACAAAGAGTACGTATAACTAGTTTAAGAAAATTGGGGCTCCCATGGCCCATTGGCCTGAGAAGGATTAAAGCATGTAATGGTTATAAACTGAAGTACTGCTACAGGAAATGCTGCAAATATTGCATCTACATCTTAAAATCCTTACAGTGTTCAAAATGTCCTACGCCTTTCCTGGTGGATAGATATAAGTGGGGCCACCATTTTTTGCCCTTTTCTTTCAATTACACAGTCCAGAAACTGTGGCTGAGGTCAGATAAGTTATGTACACTGGGTCTGCAGTACTGATGTGCCAAGGTATTCAGTCAGATTTGGAAAGCAAAGAATGTGTGTGGGGGTGTTCCTCTTTGTTTGCTTTTCTTTTTGTTAAAGAAAAAAGAGTGCTTCTTTATAGAAGCCACATCTGGGAATCATTTGTTTTTTAAAATATTTTAACTGCAGTGTCATGTCAGATTGTGTCAGTCATGATGACCTACTACAGTTTGAGATGCTGAGATGATGCGTATATGGGAATATACCGTGCTTTGGCAGGGGTCCAAATCAACCCAAACAGAGAAAGAAAGAGAGCTTTGGGGTTATAGCTTCTCATTGTGTAATATGACCAACTGAAACATCACAACAAAAACCATATTTTAGAAAGCGACTCTTTCTTTAATTAGCATTTTAGCGTGGTCTGACACCAATTCCATGCACAAGAAACACTTATGCTTTGAATTACATCCAATTTTACACAGTGCAAAGTGGCTGAAGCCTAACATTACAAATAGTAACAAAAGAGAAGTATATTATTTATATATTTTCCTTTCTCTCTTTTTAAAAATTATAACATATTCTTATGTATTCATGAAAGGTTAAAATGATTATATCCAACTGTTATGTCATAATGCTACAGTTCTGTAATTATGGATGCATTTTCACACATTTTTGACCTAGTGAATTGCTGAACAATAAATGGCAAATGTTTGATAAAGCAGAGCCAGCTCCATACAGTACTACAGTTTATATCATAAAAAATGTGAGATCAGAGTTAAACTGAATTACAATGGTCTACTCCACTAGACTTCAAGAATGCATTCTAAAACCAGTGAGAACAAATTTAGTGTAATTCTCATGATGTCAATGAAGAATTTGACTTGGGATTCGTACCATGGTAAATTGACAGTACTAAACCAAAACACCAACTTTTTTTAAAACTCAGAATGTGATTAGTGTTTCAAAGCAACAATAAATACCTTCACACAATGTTCCCCTTATTCTTGAATGTCCTTTTGGGCAGATTGGGTCTATAACAAAACAAACAAAATGTGAACTGTTTACAATACCATAATCCAGAGTTTGCTGCAGTGACCTATTTTAATTAGCTAAAAAGAAGATGTGAAATCTGAACTTTATAGGAAGTATTTTGTCAGGTAATAAAAGCATATAACGGAATAACTAACTAAACAATAGGATGTAAGCAGACATGTGGATGCATTCTCTCTCAGTTCTAATGTATCCAAGTTACACAAGCAAACTAACAGTGGGTTAAATAACTCCAATGCCATTCATAGCAACTTAATTACATTAAATTATTATTGTTCTGAAGTCACAGCCATTGCAGCCACTGAGTCCTTAGTGGCTAACTTGATTTATCAGAAATTTCCACCAGTGGGAATGAATTTCTTGGAGAGGGACCAGTACAGGCATTCAGCCTGCAGCCACACCCTCTCCCCTGCTTCCCGTGCCTTCCAGAGACTACGGTGATCCCATCTGAGGAAAACATGGGGAGCAGGCTGGGGGAAGAGAAAGGGAGTGGTGACTCCTGCTTTTCTCCCTTTCTGAACCTGTCTGGGGAAGAAAGGGAGCAACAGGGCAAAGTTCCCAGCTGCTTCTAACTCTGGGGACTCTGGTATGAGGAGTGGGCAGAGGGCTTGTGGCACTGCTGCCTCCACGCAGCTTCCAGTGCCTGAGCAAAGGGAGAGGGCAAAGGTGCCTGCCTGCTTCTCACACCGGAGACCTCAGCATATGAAGAGCCAGTGGGGAGCAGATGGTGGCTGCTCTTCCTTTCTCCTCCTGGTTTATGGAAGCAGATGGAGCAGCTGCCCTGCCACGTTCTCCAGACCAGGGTGACCCCAGTCTTGGGAAGGCACAGGAATCTTTCCCCTGGCTCCAATCCTCCTGGTCTCTGAAGTGTACAAACATACATTCCCTCCTCCTCCTCCCCAAAAGAAACTCTCCCAGGAGGACTTCTACCTGGTTTGAGTTGGCTTGTTTTTCTCCCGCAACTGCCATTTTTGGTCCTGGAGAAAGAACTTGAACATGTACAAACATGTACAGAATGAGGATTCTCCTGGTAGAAAATTAATGTTTGTACATAGTGGGCACATTTACATGTGAAATTAATGTGAAAGAATAAGCTCCAGTGCATATTATGATGGAGCCTATTGCTCCCTGGTGCTATGTCTCTATGGGCAGCTGGGACCACAGCACATTGAGCTGGGTCAGAGCAGGGGTTGTCACCCGGGGCTGCTCTAACCTGGCTCAATGTGCTGTGGAAGGACTGGCTGAGGCATGAGGATGCTCTACTGTGGAGCTAGCTAGCAGGGACTAAAGAGCGCCACCACAGCGTAGCACTTGTATTTGCAAATTCTACCCTGAGGAGGAGTTATTAATTTCCTGCAACCTAACAGGGCTGTACGTGTAGACACTGAAACTTTACTGGGGACCTAATTAGGCATCACCATAAATGTCTCATGTAGATGTGCCCAGCCAGTGTTAAGTTTCCAATATCATTAATTTTGACAAATGCAGTACAGTGATACAAGATATACCAAATGACAGATTATAGGTGTGATAAATTGCTATAAATCTAATTTCAAAATATATTTACCATAAGATCAAAATACAGAAATGTATAGCACTAAATTCTAAACTTTTATCATGTTCCTTTTCCATGCCAACTAAGAAAAGGATAACTGTAATGCACTAGCTAATGTCATTTGACCTATGATTTTGCTGCTATGGAAGTGTCACTGGCTTTGTTCAAAACACAATTGGATGGAATTTGCAGAAGTCCTGAGCACTGGTGATCTTTGCTAGAAAAGCTTTTCACTGACCACTTGCAATTTATTTTGTATTGTGATAGGTTAAAGGGCAAGCAAGATACAGCCAGTGGCAAAATTACCTCCTCCCAGCCCCACTGATCACACCTCCACTAAATAAAATTTGTGTGGGGCTAATATTGGGTTTTAGAAATTAAGACCATGCCTGCTACCCGATGTGATGTGGCTAAGATGGTTCACTAGGCTTTGTATGAGACATCCAGTGAGTAAAACAAGTGCTGGATAGTTTTAAAAATCTAAACAATTGTCCTTTTTGTGGGTTTAATCCAAATGACTGAAATGCCAAAGCAGTTAGTCCTTCAGATAAAAATAGGAAGCGGATGTACTGATATGGTCTCATAAGGTCCTCGTACTGTCAGTTATGATGATACATGAGAATAAATCAATGGTCTTACCTCGTTCACAGGGTGTACATGGGCTACCCCAAGCAGCACCCAGTGAGGAACAGCACTGGGATTTGAGAGTTGCTCCATTGATATTTATTTCACATCTCCCATCCACTATACTCTGCCAGCAGGTGCCTTTAACAGTTTCTGTTGGGGGGTGGAAAAAACAGGATATCACCATGCAAAATGCTTAGCACTGGCAGAGTTCTCATTCCCCTGCTGCTTGCTGCTCAGAGTAGGTAAGACAGCTTAAGTGGGAGAAGTAGTAATTCATTGCAATATATATATATATATATCAGCAGTATATTACCGTCTCCCAGGACCACGTATTTCACTCACAGAGCCATAGTGTCATTCAGGACTATTCTTGGGGTGGTCCAACTGACACACCACTGCTGTTTAGACTACACCTCAAGTTCAAACCCAGCCCTTTCTCAAGATTAAATTTTCATAAGAAGGTGCCCCTTGTAGCAGACAAGCCATCTCTTCAAAATGATGCCTATGTGCCTATATGCTTGTTACAAAAATCTCTCACCTCTCTCTCAAATCTGAAATGAAAGCACATTGTGTTCCCTCCCAACAGCTAAAGTAATTTTTTATGTACCCACAGTAATGGCGAAAAGAAATATTTTCTTAACATTTTCTACTGAACTTATCTGTCCAAGTTATTTTTAAATGCTTTCTGGACTCAGTATACAGTATTTGTATGTCACTGGAAATTTTCAACCAATGAACATATAATCTTTAAATGAATAAATACCTATGCAGATGGTTCTTGTTGTATCCAAAGTACTTTCAGGGGAACATTCACAAGCAAAAGAGCTAAGTGTATTTTTGCATACTCCATTAACACATGGGTTAGACTCGCATTCATCAATATCTAGAAAAAGAACACTCTCATTAGTGGCAGTACCTGCTAGCAAGACTTCAGAAAGCCTCCTTCAGTTTGGTTAAAAGTAAAAGGTATCTTGCCATGTGACAAGATATTCTTGCTATTCTATTTTTCAGCTATGGAGCTCTTCATAGAGGATTGGTCAAATACATGGCCAAAAGATGTACTAACACATCTCCCTAGTATAGTTTCCTAGGATTACAGGAATGCCCAGCACTGCTACAGAACCTTGTTTTCTATGGAGATCCAGGTGTTGTCTGGTTTTCCAGTTAAGTTGGTCAAGTGATTTGGCCATACATTTAGCCAACGACTCAAATGGATTTAAAATTAAGACTTTTTATTCTTCACTCAAACCCACATGTACAGTCTTTTACAAAACAATTGTACTTTATCTATACTAGCACTTCCCCACTCTTGCCAAAAACACTGGCACAGTGGCCCTGGCAGCAGCAACTGAGGAAATGTTAGTTCACATCAAGTGGAGGTGTTTTTTCCACCAGGTTTCTAACTCTTGTATGTGGTAGCCTTGAGAGCTGCGAGGTGGCTAACTCTTTATGTGGTAGCCTTGCCTTGCATCCATTGTTTCCCTTTCATTTCTAGACTTCACATTCTTTGTCTTCTTCAGTGTTTCAGACATGCCTGGCAATACCTGAGATTTCCTTAAGGCAATTTATAAAACCATGAACTGTTGATATCACTTTCTTTTCATATAGCTAATGATTAAATAAATAGTATGAGAAGTTTTCTTATATAAATCCATCTGCATGGCAAAATTTAAAGTCCTATCCCTGATTTTTTGTCAGAATACAAAAATCTTACATATTTTTTCTTAATATTTTTAATATTCATAAACAAAAGTATAATATTTCACCAATCTCCCTACTGTTCTCAGTAAATGACTCTAGAGTAAATCTGTGTCTCGTTTGGATTGGAAATTTCACTAGACTTTAAGCTTTGGTTGACTGAATATAAACTAAGTATGTTTTAAGCTTCAGCATGAAATGCAACCATTCTGCTTTGCCTCAGCTGGAATTCATATCAGCTGCTAACAAATAATACTGTATATGATACAAGCTAAACAGACTCCAGTAACATGGTGAAAAGTTTTAAACTTCAATTAAAATAGCTTGAATGTAATGGGGTGTTATCAATTACCTTCACATGTTTTTTGATCAGGCTTGTATATAAATCCTTTGGGACAGGTGCAGGTGAAACTTCCAGGGGTATTTCTGCATTGCCCATTGTCACAAAGCAGTAGGTTCGATGCACATTCATCAGTGTCTGCAATGAAAATTAAGAGAAAAAAGACACCCTGACAAGAGCCCTTTCCAAGAAGCCACATTTCATTATGACTGATCTTTATGTGTGTGTATTTGTGTGTGGTGGGGGATAGAGGAAGTGGGGTGAGAGAGAGGGAGAGGGAGAAAGAGACAGATATGTCTTTCAAAACATTTGAAAAATGTTGGAGATTTCTTTATAATTTTAGAAGCAAGGCCTCTGAATTTATTTCAGGTAAAAATGCCCACTCCAAATAAAGCTACAGTATTATTATAAAGTATAATAATGAAATATCCTTTTACCATTACTAATGATGACTGGCATAAAAATAAAGGTAACAATAACAAATTAATTCATTTAAATGAGGCATATACCTTCTAGAGAAAGTTGAATACTTACTGTTTTCAAATTGGAAAAAATTTGAAAACCCTTTCAAATGTTCTTGATCCCTTACCTGCATTCTACTGTTCTGTTTATTCTACTAGAAATTTTCTTCAAAATTTCTCACTGTTCACATTACCAATGAAGCAATGCCACTGGTGGCAGAAATTGTGATAGGCACAAGTTCAAACAGGCTGCTGCTAAATCACCATATCACATCTAAGTGAGACTAAAAGTGGTTAAAGATGTCAGCTTCCATCCTACACTTGCAGCAGTGCTGAAAAATCTGAGTGAAAATACTAGTGTGGACATGATTTCTGGGAAGCCAAACTGCAAGACCTCTTAAGGAGACCTTTGGATAAATTTTGGTCACTGGAGAAAAGCTGCAAGAAGATGGCAAAGGGCCATGAATGACAGGTGAACATTAGGAAGATGCAAAGACCAGCCGGGAATATTTGGATGCGTCAGACAAACCTCAAAATGTGTTGAGAGAAGTTGGGAAGACAGAGAGGGTCAGAGCAGCAGATGGGAACTACGGAAGTGTTAGAAAAGACGGGGAGATTTGAGTAAAGCAAAATCTCTGGGATACTTCACAGGAGTCCAGAAAAAGTTGAGAGAGAGGAGCAAAGGGAGCATTAGAGAGGAATAGGAAACAGCTGTGATGAAGCATGAATATGCACTGGCCTAATAACTGGGTGGGCTTGGGGAGCAGCTAGAAAGGTCACAGATGAGATGGGGAGGAGATAAATGATACTATAACTAATGGGCAAATGATCTAGGATATGAAACATGTTGGAGGACAGGAAAACCATTAAAGAGCCCAGAAATGAAGACAGAAGGATTAAGAATAAACAACAGCACATCCAAAATATTCAATTTTGATTTTTGAAGTTTCTCTTCCTTACCTCAGAGAGAAAGACAAACATCAAAATTTAATATGGAACTTTTAATAGGGAAAATGAGATATTTCATACCCAGGCAATTTTTTCCACTTGAATCCACTTCATATCCAAAATTACATCTGCATTTGTATGTTCCGTGCAGATTCTCACATTCTCCATTGGGGCAGAGTGCAAGATCCAAACATTCATTAATATCTACACAGATGCAGAAAGTTAACAATCAGTGTTTTTCTTTTGGAATATCACATTCACTAAACTAGACAAGATCATTCTTTTTAATAGCAAGTTTCCACAATTTTTCCCATGATGAATTTTCAGTTAGTAACTCTTGTGAAAACACTACCCCTGAAGAATGAAGAGCATCCCCATTATGGTGGCTAAATTCCAGCACTAACCCAAAGGTGTCTGTGAATCCTGCAATGGCAGACACAAGCTGGAGATTACTTGAGAATCCTTACATGATGACTGGGAGAATGAGGATCTCACACCTGAAAACATTCAGTGCTAATAATCACTGAGTTTCTGTGATTATTATAACTTTCCAGTAGGCCTGTGCTTAAATAGTTTTTACTGATTTTTTCCAGCAGAACACTAATGCACTTCCTGCTTTCAGCTGAAAGCAGCCTCAGTAGGCTCAGCTGTGAATACTGGTTACAGATGAAAGGCTTTGCCAGATCTGGCTCTAGCATTTTTAACACTTCAAAGGGAAGTGCAAGAACCAACTAAACTCTGGTCAATCCTGATGAATTATGACACTATTAAAATGAAGTCACTGTGAATTATGGACAGCTGAAAACACTTTGTTTCTTATTTTACTCCAGAACACGGCATGTGCCAACTGTCTAATGCGGGATAACCTGGGAGTAAGAGGGATCATTAGAGAGCAATTCAACAGCTTAAAAACTATTTTCATCATTTTTTCACAGTTGGTCTTTCACGTCAGAGATATGGTACTCAAAATGATGACTTTTTTTTCCTCAAGGCAGTTAACTGAAGGGCAATTTACAACCTGATCTGAATCTAGGTTGGATAAGCAAGTTTTTATCTCAACACATTCTCCCTATTTTCAACAAGGCATAAGATATTTTAGCAGTAGTTGGTGTCACCAGGCCTGTTCAAACTTTTGTAATTAAGTTCACCATCAGTGTGGCACTACTACTTATCGTCCCACCATCCTTTGTGACTGAGATAAAAATAGCTAAGTAAGATAGCAGGCCATTAGCACGTTATGGCTTGCTAACTCAATATAGATCCAGGGTTGTGTTCTCTATGTAATGGAATATCAGTATTATAATAATAATCTTTTACAAATCTTCTTTTTCCAAAAACTGCATAAAAAAGCCTGATAAGAGTGAGTGCTTACACTTAGGCTGTCATATTGCTGAAATGGTATGCTCTCTTGAGTTAAACCTATGCACGTTTCTTTGAACAGGATGAAAAAAGCAATTCATACTATTTCCCAGCGTCCTTCCCTCCAGACTGTAGTAGTACGGCATCACATTCACACACCATCTCCCACATTCGTAGCCTGAATGTCTTTGGTCATAACCATGTCATGCATTCTTACCAGCTCCTGTTGCAGTCAGGCCTGGTCCACTGCTGCACAAAGCCTGGTATTCAGCTGAAAAATATTTAAAATATTTACTGTGATTCTTTTTAGGTTAAGTTCTTTAAAAGTCATCTTACAAAAGCAGGTTCATTATCTCCTTGTAGTAATACAACTGTCCATTTTGCTAAAAATGTCATTACTCTAAAACTACAAAACATGAAGCTATTTTAGCTGGATCATTCAAATTCCATGTGCAATTTAGCCAGACAGGTCTGGGCACATTTTTCCACAAATCCAGGCCATAACGGTGACATGGGCGTTTAACTAGAATATAGACGTGCAGAATAATTCTGTGGGAACTCTCAGAAAATTGAGCCTCTCATTCATTTTTATAAGGAAGTCCGTCTCATAAGCATCCTTGTGGGTCAATGTGTGAAGAGCTTCTGAGCAGATTATCTGAGCTACAGCCAAAGACAACCTACTTTCAAAAGTTCTTGCTACATTTTTTTCCTTGAACAATTCCCTCCTCTCCTCCACTCAAAACTGAAGATGTTCTATGTACTCTTTCTTTCTGAGTTGGCATCTTTAACAGTAGGAAAGGTAGGCAAAACAGTTTGGAAAAACATCTCAGTGCTCTGTTAAATTAATTCAAATATAAAACAGAAGTTCCTGGCATTGTGTCCTATACTTACAATAGTTATTAACTGTATTGGGCAGTAAGAAGGGAGCATGCTGATTCCAACAGCTGCTGCTGGAAAGGCTTTTTCATGCTCTGATAAAGTTCTAATGTTTTGTTGCTATTCTAGCTAACGAGACCCACTGCAAAATAGTGACCAGCAAGCGTGTGTTGAAGATCATACATCAGGTAAATTAACCTGATTTGTTTCAACTGGTTACATGTCTCTAGCCCTTTTCATGAAGTTGCCAATTAAAACAAAGACACACTCCTTCCCTCCAAAGCTATTTCCATGCTATGCATCATCCAGAACATTTTTTTGATTACAATCATAATTTCATAGACATGAAGGGAACCAATGGATGAACTAGGAGCCCAATTCTTCCAACTGGCTCCATGCAAGTATCACTGGTGAGCTACTGTTTTACTTATTGGCTCCGACAGCAGAGCTATGCCAGCACTGCATTCCTTCAAAAAGTGCTTTCCCAGCAGCAGTCCATACAATGAGGAAGACTACAAGGTTGTCAATGCACCATTATGATCCAGGTAAAATAAACAGTTTTAGAGGAATCTGATGAAAGGATAAAATATTTTCACTCAGTCTTAACTGACCTTCCATTTCTCTGTGCAAAATCTGAAGGCATGATTTTGACCCCACAGTTATTTGTGGACACACTTTAGGTAATTCAGACAATCAAATATCTAAATGCCAGGTGCATTTAATATCTAAACATTTAAATGATCTAAACTGTGTCCATAAATAATGTGAGATCAAAGTTATGCCTACAATTAACGAAGTCCACCAAAATGAAAGCTGTTGCTTGAAAATCTGTCCTAATTCATGCAGCTACCATGGGCCAAATTCTTGGTGTTAAACATTACTCTTTAAAAACAGTCACTCCTTCCTTTTACATACATGCAGAATAGAAGACTTTTCCAAAAGCGCAGCCACCTGTGTGGTATGCACCTGAGATTACAAATCCAATCCTCTAGATTTAGGATATGTAAGAGACTTTGTTTTTTATACAATGCTTTCAGAACTGTTATAAATCTCAACAAAAAGTGTAGGTTTCTACTTATCAAACGTTACACTACCTGAATTTTGGGCAGGACAAGGCTGGCAGGGTTCTCCAAAGGCATAGTCAGTGCTGGCACAACAGCATTCCGATTTAGTAACAGCACCGGTCAGTGCTCTTACACATTGGCCTCTCTTGTATTCACCATAGCATGTGCTTCGCATATGTGTATCTAAATATCAAAAAAATCCAACATAATCCTATTGTAGGCACAATAAAATACCATAAATAGATATAGTACTAGATTTCAAATGCTGAATGTCAAAGCTTGAGACATATTACCGAACAGGACCATAAGAAAGACAGTCTATCAAAATATTTTTTGGAAAATTGAATATGTGGGCAATTTAGCAACATAATCTTTCATTTTCCTGATTTATTTCACCTGAGTATCTCAAAAAAATCTTCAGGTGGCCTGGAATCATAACAGTAGCCAAAGAATCAGGGACCCATAGCTGATGCCTGGATTCCAGAACAATTTTTTTCTTACTGGAAAAGATAATCCTGCCTAAACAATGCTATTTTGGAATATTCTGTTTTGTTCCAAAGTGCATAGGTGGGACTCATTTCATATCAAATTGTGTGTTTGTTTTCCAAAGTTCATTATTTGTTCCTTATTCATAGTGGGCCAAATTCAGCACTGGATTAAGTCAAGTGAGTTGGTATACTGTATAGTATGAGGATCGGGAAGGAGTGTTCAGCTACGAACTCAACTCCATAGTTTCCACAGTACTTTCTGGTAAGAAAAAAAACCCATAAGAGAAAACCAAAAACACTAAAACCTTTGTTTTAAAGTCATAATTTCAGGTAAAACACACAAAAAAACCCTGACAGAGATGGTCAAATAATTTCTAATACTAACTAGAAAAAAGGTCAGATAAGGATTCAGCAAACACAAATAAACAAGCCAAGAAGACTACTTCTATGTATAAAATGAAGCATGTCTTTTCCAGATTGGGGATTACACATGAATATGTTAAATCAGTGCAACAGACTCTGAAGTATTTTACAATGGGTTAAGAACACAAGGACTGCCATTTACTGGGTCAGACCATAGGTCCATCTAGCCAAGCACCCTGTGTCTTACTAGCAGAGAGTGGATGCTAACAGGGAGAGTGAACTGGGTATGAAGAGCGTTTCTTCCACCATTCCTCTCTCACTTGCAGCCTCCAGTATTTAAGGTCTAGGAAGTTCTAATTCAGAGGCTGTATATCTAACTCCTGTGCTCAATAGCTATTGATGCCCCTATCCTCCAAGAATTTGTCCAATCCCTTTTTGAGTCTGTCAGTTTTCCACAACACCTGGATGCAATGAGTTCCATACTTTAATTGCACACTGTGTGAAAAAAAAACTTCACTTTGCTAGTTTCATTTTGTGACCCCTAGTTCTTAGATAGTGAGAGACAGTAAATCTCTATTTACTTTCTCTTCATCCTTTAATAATATGTACACCATTATCGTATCCCCTCTCTTTTCTAAACTGAACAGGCCTAGTCTCTTTAATCTCTCATATGGAAGCCCATCCATACCACTAATCCTTGTTTCCCTTCTCTTTACCTTCTTTAGTTGAGGTGCAGGGACCAGAAGTGAACACAGTATTCAAGGTGTGGATGTACCATGGATTTATAAAAGGGCATAATGATGATTTCATTATATTGCAATTGTTCTTGGTCGGGCAAAGAGATAGATTTTTAGTAACCAGAAAAGTTTTTATGTCTTGCTTTAAAAAGACTAATATGTTGCTATAGAAGACATTTGCTTACATGAAAATGTTACTCATGAGTATAATGACAAAACCAAAAAACCTCTTGTTATATACAAAGAATTTCTCTTGAAAAAGGGAAAACTACAATGTGCAAATGGGAGGTACATAGGAACACTAAGAAATGGAAAAGGTATACAAAACATTATGAAAACGAAACGGGTGCTTGTGCCTGCTGTATATTATTAACAGGTTTGTGTGACTGTTTTAAAATCATGAGGCCAGATTATCAAATGATGAAAACCGATGTAGCTCCATTGACTTCAACACAGCTATGAGAATGGACATCAGCTAAGAATACGATTTGTTTGTTTTAAAAGAGAGAAAAATGGGAGAGAAAGGAAATGGAGCAAAATGAACTATCATAGCTAATGTCATAGATAAATGTATCCATTAGCATGGGAGCACCCCCCCCACCTCCAAGCGGTATGTTCAAACTACAAAGAGTCTATCATTCCAGATTGAATGCCTTAGCCTAGTTAACTGCAACTCGCCTCACAATGAGCTTGTCTTACCAACACACACACGTCCATCTAGTCCCACTGCAAGTCCAGGGAAGCATTCACATCTGAAAGACCCATCAGTGTTCACACAGCGCCCGTTCATGCATATTCCAGGTGTCTCGCACTCATCAATGTCTGTAAAAGAACAGAATAAGCTTTATTAAAAATAAAATTAAACAGTTTTCAATGCCTGGCTGAAACTTGCATTTGTACAGCTTCTTTTCAATATACCCCATAAAAAATAAAAATAAAACAGACTTCACCAAGTGAAATATTAATGCAAATACATTTTTCATTAAAAATAAAAATCCCAATATTAGCTCATTCTATATAGCAGAGAAAGCAAAATTCTGCATTCTCAGGATTTTTTCCCTGTTCAAATAGCTACATTTTCCTAATATGTTCCCTAGAGATGCATAATCTAAAATAAGGGTCATTCAGGCAAAAACATAATTAGAGGAAAAAGGAAACTCTGGCTGTTAAGACAAAGGACTTGTGTAGTGTTTGACATGTCATTCCCTTTCTGTATTACCATTTAGTTTTTGCTTTAAGAAAGCAGGCCAGAATGCAAATTAAATCTTTGACCCTTTTGAAGAGCCTTCATGCCTCCCCCACAAGAATATTTCTTCTTTCTGCTGTGAGTTCAGTTTTTGGGAGCACTATTCAATGCTTATAGTCCAAATCCTGCCTGCACATCATGTCCTCTTGGTTATCTGCATGACAATTGTGTTATATTATATGCTTGTTATAACACATTTCCCTTTTCCATAAACTTTTTAATGGGGAAATTGCACATCAGCCTTGCAAGGAATTTTTTAATGATCTGAGTGCTATACAACTGCTAAGAACAAGCTACCAACTTTGTCCAACAATAGCACATGGAACAATAAGCGCCATAGCAATGAAACAAAAGGATGAAAGCTATTAATATTAGATGGTTTCAGGAAAATGTCCAATTAGTCAAAAGTTTTTATAGACTGTGTACACTGCGAGGAATGACAGCATTTTCTTGACACGGGGAACATGCTATTTTGTGTAGCCAGCGATTAAGAGGGAAATATTTTAATACATTGTTTGGAAGCACGTGAAACATTTGCAAAATAATCACTTCATGACAGCTCTCCTTAATGTATACAACAGACAGCATGTGCGACAATTTCCTATTTTCTGACCTTAAAAGGGCAAATTGAGAGTGAAACACCTCTGTGTTTTACTTAGTTTGTGTTGTTTGGCATGGAACATAACTTTTATGATCCAAAATTCCTTGTTCAAACTGTATTTTAAAATAGAAGTTCTATTAAAGTACACAGGCCAAATTCATTTCACTTTAGCCTACCACCTTTTATTCTGGTTCAGACAAATGGACAAATTGTGAATGCTTTTTCTATTTTTTACTCAGTCCTTCCCCAGATAGTACTCTCACTGAGTTTGCTTTAAGAGCTGAGTTAGATTTCAGAATTTGGCTATACTGTGACAGTGGTGTGGACCAAATTCTTAATTCTTCAGCAAGTATACACGTTCTGTGAAGAACTGGTGCAAGAGCTCTTTCAAAGACAGAAGTGAACAAGCTCAAACATGTATATTTCCTCCTTAAATTTCAAAACATTTATTAAACTCATCAAGATAGTAAAGGTTGGAATACGTAACATTTTTTCCTGTAAAACTCGAAGCACTTTACCAAAGTGGAAACATCACCATTTTGCAGGGGGCAGAAAGTTAGGGCATGGTGGCACCTAGTTCAGAGAGGTATGAGTTTATGCAGGCAACTCCGTCAGATGCTGAAACATTTTACAGAGGGAGAAACTGAGGAATAGAAAAACAAAGTAATTTTGCCCAGTCATGACATTTTAAGTGACATCCTGGCACATCCCTGACTTAAATGGAGCCAGGACTTCACAACTGTAGAGGCAGGCACAGAACCTAAGATTCTGTTTACTGGACTTCGAAGCCTCCTTTAGTAGAAGGCTATATTTTGACAACCCAGATGAGTGCCAACTTTCCTGCACTTAACTAGCCAGTGAACCTCAGCCTTGTTCTGAAAAAGCTATCTACCAAATTAATTCTCTGGTCTAATCCATCTTTGCCCTGTCTTCTTGAACTGCTAATTAATGCCAACTATAATGGCCTTTTTTGGATGGGTATCCTAGTTAGTATCCCTACATTTTTTAACTGAAGACATCATATTTATCAAGCTACTGAAAAGCCACTTTCAGCAATTGCTAATCTGAGCAAAATGTTTTATCTGAACAAAACAAGCTCAGAATCTACCCGGTCTCTCCCTGCCAGTCCCTTATTCGTATTTATAGAAATCTGACAGCAAATCAGACAAGGGACGCTGTAATGGTTAATACATTTAACCTGCCTTGTATTACAGGGAGCATACAAAACTATGGTATAACATTCCTTTTTGGAATATTTTTTCGTAAAGCCTGAGTGGAAATTTTCACAACCAGCCAAGTATATGCCCCATATTCATACTTGCATAAATGCCAGTTTTATGGAACTAAGAGTCTATTCCAGTATTGTTAATGAGAAGTTAGAAAGTCTTCTTAAGGCACCCATGCTTGAAATCTCAATAACAAATGAGACCCTTAGAAAAGTATTGCTGCATATATAGCAGACCTGATAGTCTTTTGTTGGTCCCCAAAAAATTTGGCACAAGCACATGTGTGATTTCATGTCAAAACTGCTTGGTTACCTGGCCACCTTGTTGCATAACTGTTGGTTTGTGTGCACATATACCCAACCTGTATGTACAAAAGCAATACAAGAATGTGAAATCTGGGGCCAAACTCTTGGATGGTATACACTGACGTACCATTATTCAGCTTTTACAGAGCTGAATACATGTACACCAGCAAAAAAAAAAACTGGCCCTAACCATAGCTCACAGTGTAAAAATCTGGCTCTCAAGGTTATTTACAGATGCTACTACTTTTGTGTAGGAGAGAAACCAATAAACTCTATCAGCATGCACAGAGGGGAGTCATGAAGATGAGCAATAATAACAACAGAAAAATCATGCAACAAAAATTCAAATAGAATACATTCACCCAAACATCTGTATACGTATATACAAGATGGGTGTGTGTGCACACAAACCAACAGTTATGCAGAAGGGTGGCCAGATGCCCAAGCAATTTTGATATGAAATCACACCTGTGCTTGTGTCAAACTTTTACAGGATCAAAAAAAAAAGAATATACAGTTTGCTGTATATGCAATACCGCTTTTCTAAAGGATTCATTGGCTATTGAGTTTTCAAGTGTAGTTACCCTAAGAAGACTTGCTAACCTCTTATTAGTGACACTGAAAAGGACACTCAGATCCCTTCTACATATTACAGCTATTGTGCAATTAACAAGTTAATTGTGCAATTAAACTGAAACCAGCTACATGTGCAAAGTACTTATCACACCATAAAAAGCTCCAACCAGTTTTAAAGTTAGATCTGAAAAATATGTACTAACTTGATAGCTGGGTGCAATCCAGCTTTAATTTGCATGTATAGCAGGCTCTCCCCTGAGGCTGGGAGCCCCACCAGCCAGAGAGGCTCCCAGCTGCAGAGGTAAACCATGTTCGGCAGGGGATGGAAGTCCCATACCTGAGGGGACTCTCAGATCCTGCAGCACCCAGCAGCTGCAGGATTCTGGGTCCCAGCAGCAGCGGGGCACAGCTGTGATCTCCCAGCCCCAGAGGTGCATGGTGTGCCTCACGGCTGGGAGATTGCAGTCCCACAGCTGACAGGACTCAGAGCCCCAGCTGTGCCCAACATGCAGCCAGTACTTCAGGTCACCTATTTGCCAGTGTAGGGGGAGCCCAGGATGGTAATCCCAGGCTCCCCCTGTACTGGCAACAAAGTGCAATGGGATATAATGTGTGATCCCACAATCACGTGTGACATGGCAAGAAGTGCAATTGTGTGGATCCCATACTGGATCCTATTGTGCCTTTACCTGAACGTGCAGAGGGGACCTTAAGGTTACATGAAACTAGCATTTAAGTATGAATATGGGGCATATATTTGGCTGTGGGTGAAAAATTCCACTCAAGCTTTATGAAAAAATGCCAGAAAGGAATGTTACACCACATATAAGCATAAACAATACTTAAATGCACATGTACATTTGTGAGTGCTAAA